ACTCTTCGGCAGCTGAAAACTAGCAGAAAAAAAAAAAATCCAATCAGTCATCTATAATCTAAACACAATCACGTCCCCCACATCCACAGCATACTGGTAGGATAAAGATTATCCACAAACTAAGCCGGCTGCTCACAGTGCACACAAACATCACACGCGCGTGCACGCTCTGGCACAGTGGAAGATTGGAGAGATTCAGGTAATTACTAAACTAAACAGCTTACCCCCCTACAGACGCACACTCGACGAGTTGGCGCTATTAGATAAAGCACCTTCAGGTTATCTGAAATTACAAACAGAACCGGTGGTGTTCAGGTGCAGAATCATGTGTGCCTGATGAGTAGGCCTACTACATAGCTGCTTTATTTCAACCCAGCTCTCCAATCTCCCTTGCCCCCCGCCTCTCTCTCGAAGCATATTGCTTTGTCTAGACATTTTCAGGGACCATTCTCCTTTGCCATTAGTGAGGCTAATAAAGCGTTGTTAAAAGGGATTTCTGCAGATCAGCCTGCCAGCACCTGAGCTACAACAGAATCAACAATACCTGGTTTGCAGTCCCTGCTTGTATGGAGCCTGATGCTCTAAAGGAGATGTTTTGTTTTTGTTTGTTTTTTTCTCCTCCTTTCTCGTTTCCCAGCTGCATGGCTCGCCCGGTTGTTTTGTTCTGACTTCTGATCATCTGGTGTTATCGACCCATTCCTCATGGCTGACGAGAGGGAGGGGGGGGGGGACAAACCTGTTGTTTTCACTCGGTTGAGCGCAACGCTCTGATTCACTCGGGGCTGCGGCGGCGTGAGGAGGGGAGCGAGGGGGCCGGCGGGCCCTGCTGCCGACCGGGGCCTCACTGCCCCCCGGAGTGTGTGAGCGAGGCAGATGGGATGGGCGCGTGTGCGAACAGCCCCCGTGATCCAGCCGGGGCGCGTTCGCCAGCCCTTCTCCTGCCTCGGCATCGGAAGAAGTAACCCCCCCCCCCGAACAACACACACACGCTCCCCTGCGCGTGTCTGTCTCCTCGTATCCTACAAATGTCTGCCGCCATCTGAGAGGGTGAATCGCAGATGACTAAGCCCTGCTCGATTTGACTGGTCAGCTTTCCTTGGTGATGCAAGCGTTTGCACAGTCCTCTCGCTCTTGGGGGGGCAGCGAAAGCCATCTCTTCGGAGGTCTTTTGGGGTTTTCTTGTTCCTCGTTCCGAGCAACGAGTGGTAAAGGCGCGAGAACAGCCCACTAACGCCGTTGAGAGAAGCACACCGCTGGTTTGGAGCGCGGACCCGAGACGTCCGGAAGACCGCGGGATTGCGTTTGTGTGGTCCGTGCTTTTGATACAAGAACAAATAGACAGTTCAGTAAGGCCACCTACTGTATCAAGAGTTTGTTTTCGTAACGTCCGTTCCAAATAAAACACGAAACAAACCAGGGCCGCTGCGCCGTCGGAGCCCGAGACCGTCGGCAAACGAGAGAGTCGGCGGGTTGTGGCAACGTGCAGCGCAGCGCTTGGCCCGGCCTCCCTCCTGGGCGGAGTCCCCCTCCGCTTGGGTCTCCCGGTGGGAGGAAATCCCTTCCTCGGGCAGAGGAGCGCGGGCCCGCGGAGATCCGGGAGTTCCGGTCCGTTTCCCCGTCTCTCCGGCGGTTCGCGGCGTGCGCTCGGCTCCGCCGCGGGTCTCCGTCTGAGAAATGAAATAGAGGAAGCTCCAGTCAGGGGAGGGTGCTGGCAAGGGGGACGCGCGGATATTTGTGTTCACAGATGAAGGGCTGGCTTTTGTTTTTTTTTTTTCTAATTAGCCGTTAGCGATAATCAAAATAATTACCCTAGGCTGTGTGGTAATAATTACAGGAGAGCGGGAGACCTGACGCGAGGGGAGGGCAGGCTGAAGCAGCACTAGAGAAAGTAATCATCATCTGTCTAATCTGTTACTGTGACAGCAGGGGGGCTGACATGAA